ACCGTCCATAGGACGAGTGTAGATCCAAAAACACTCAAAAAAGCTTGACATCACCAAGGACAAAGCATCCTGCTTGATTAACAAGATCCATCACCTTCAACACTCACTATCTTCCCCACTGGTGCACTGTGTCTACCGTATACAAAATCCACTATCGCAACTCACTCAGGCTCTTTTGATAACACATTGTAATCCTGCAGTCTATACCACATAGAAGGACATGGGCTGCAGATGCATGGGAACATGTTCTCCTTCAAGTCATTCACCATCCTGACTTGGAACAACATTGTTGTTCCTCACAGTTGCTTCACTGTTGCAAGCCCCGTCTAACAGTACTGTGGGTACTACTGCTCACCACCACCTCCTACAGGACATTTAGGAATTGGCAATAAATGTTGATCTAGTCAGTGATGCCCACATTCATTGATCAAATAAAAAAAAACTTCTCAGTTCAGCAATGACTTATTTCAAAATTTTCATCTATGGTTTCAAATCCCTCCATGGCCTTTCTGTAATGTCCTTTGACCTCACAAACCTGCCAAATGTCTGTGCTCGTCTACTGCCGACCTCTTGATGTTCCTGATTTTAATTACTTCAGCATTGGCTGTTGGGGCCAAAGGTACCATTTTACACTTGCAAGATTTGATAGAGAGTCCACACATCATCAGATTGTGTGGAGCTTATTGCAATCTCTATCGTGAACTCTTTCAGAACCATTACCTTATGCAACAAGTTTAAACAAATTTGGTGGGGTATTGCACCAGGTTATAGCATTTAAAAGGAGCAACAAAGTGTTCAGAGGAATAGGACACTTAGAAATAATACATGTTGTTTATGTAGACTTTCAAGCATTACCTGATAAACTACCACGTACTGAACTTGTCTATAAAATTGAAAGTCATGGAGAAAAAATGGCATTATTCGCAGGGATATTAAATAGGCTGAGGAATAGGAAGCAGAGAGTCGTGGTTTGACTTTTTTTTTAATCTGAAGGGAGGTATAAATTAGAGTTCCATAATGTTCTATTAAGATCACTACTGCTTTAGAAATATATTCATGACTTGGTCTTGGATTACAAGGGCACAATTTTGAAAGTTACAGATAAGACAAAGTGTGGATGTGTAGTGAACAGTGAGTAAAATAGAGAAAGATCTGAAGAGGTCAAAAGCAGACGACTGAAAGTTTTCAGGCAAACGGCAATGACAATGAAGGACCAGTAAAACCCCTCCCTTTTCAGACAAAGTGAAATTTTTCAGGATAATACAACCTATCAAATAACTTTTAGAAGTAAAGCTACAGCCAGACATGAAAAAGCAGCAACTAAATTCAGAGATTGATAGATTCATACTGTGCAGAAATGGCCCTTTGTCCCATTGAATGTGAACCGATGGAACTACAACTAAATGTACGTTAATCCCAATTTCCTGCACTTGTCCCATATCCTTGAATATTAAGATATTTGAAGTACTCATCCAAATAGTTTTTAAAGGTTGTCAGGTTTCCAGCCTCCACTACCTTCCCAGGCAACACATTCCAGATTCCCACAACCCACTGACTGAAAAGGTTTTTCCCAAATCCCTTTTGAATCTCCTGTCCCTTACCCTAAAACTATGCCCTCTCATAATTGACCCCTCACCCAAAGGGAACAGCGCTCCTCTATTTACCCTGTCCATAGCCCTCATAATCTTATACACCTAAACTGCCAATATGAACTCTTCAAATAGTGCTGATTTGAGACCTTTCTACCGAAGAGCCAGGTTTTATTGGATGAGATCAGCAGGTGGCAAGTACAAATGGGAAATAGTAAGAAGCTCAGGATTTTAAAGTACATATGTTACTGACAGCTTTGAATAATGCCAGCAAATACCCCTGCCTCCCACCACTGTCAGTATGTCATGGCGCTCTTCCAGATAGAGGTTTTCCTGAAAGCTGTCTGCAATATTATGGTCTCTGTTGGCCGAGTAATTCCTGAAAATTAACTGTTTTACAGGCCAAAGTCCTTAGAAGGCAGAGTCAGAATGAATGCAACCCAAAAGTGATTCAGAAGCATCATCAGATTATGTAAACATTACTATGTTTTAAAGGGCATTTATTAGAATTATTTGGACGTTATTCATAAATTACTTACATATCAATACTAACACTGTAATTTACAAAAACAACAAACAGTACAACACTGAACCCTTTTATTCACATCAGGATAAATTCAATGATCCCACTCTTGCAGTGCAAAGACTCTTCAATGGGATCATGGATTAGAGATAAAGTAGCATGTAGCAATCCCTCTCCAACAATCCCATCCTATCCAGAAATATTTTCCACTGGGATCTATGGATCATTCAGTTTAATCCAGTAAACAATCCCTGACACCAACGCAAATACGGCTTATCATACAGCTATGCCAGTGGCAATCGAGTATAGTTTCATACATGCACATCATACAGGTTTGTAATATACATAATGCCATGACAGAACAAGAAACAACGTCTTCTACCGAAATATTTCCTCCAACATTGTCAAAGTTTCAGGACTTTCATGCTCATTTAACAAGTTGAGGTTTTTGCAGCCTGTTTAGGTGTCTGACACATCCTGAAAGGAAACATAATTGCAAGAGTGTATTATTCGCAAGAACCAGAATCAGGTATTGATGTAAGTGCTTAACTTGTTAGGGAGCAGGTATTTCTAGTGGAGTTGTTTTGCTGTTAATGAGTTAATTTACAAATGTTATGTGAAGATGTGTTCCAATCTGACTTAACATGCACCTCAGAAGTTTGAACTACAGGTCAGCAGTTCAGTCTGATTAGGAGCAGAGCAATCTTGCTAGTAGCATGTAGTTGGCAGTAATTTTCACATATTTATACCATTGCTAATCAGAATTTTAAACTACCAGGTCAATTTCAGTCCTTGGGTGAGTGAATACAAAGACCCTGCCATTTTAACGGTGGGGTTTTACTTATATTTTGCAGAATGGACAGCTGTCTGACCCTGATGTTGGAATGGAGAACAGAGATGGAGAAAATAGTGAGGATAATAGCTGGCAGAAGCTCCAAAGGGAATGGCAGCCAAGGTAGAGTCAGGACTGGGAAGTGGGCTCTCTGTAGACAATCAGAGGAGGGAAAGACAAGCTCAGGGAGAGTGAATCTCCTTGTGGGACCCATAAAAGCAACCTGCCAGACCTACAAGGAAGCTAATTTGTTTTTTGAAATTACTTAACTGGTTCCCCTTACTGAGAAACACCAGGGACCTCTTCACTCAGAACGAGAGTTAATAATGCAGTAGAATCCATTTGATACTATTTGGACCTGATCTGACTATTCAAAGGATATAGTTGGTGCCCTTGGTACCTGCAATTTAAAATTACTATTGGCAGAATCAGATGGGAGGGTAATGCCTATCTCTATTTCAACTGGCCTCCTAGTGGTGAGGCAGAGTTAATAATCTCCCCCACGCCATAACCACCCTCTCCCACCTATCAACCCCCAACAAAACTAAAGCATCAACAGTGGAGCAGACACATAGCACAACAATTTGTTTTCTGTATTGTTCTTTCAAGAATCAAGGAATCATAGTAACAATGTGCCAAGAATCAAAAAATGCTTGTCTGGATCACAGGTTTGAAGCATGTGTATTTATGACAGTGGAGGTATCTAATATATATTAGACAATGGATGGATATTTCATTCATATAGCACCCCTTCCAGTGGGGCCTTATAGACTTATGCCAATACTCCTGCCACTATATACACAGTCCATACAGAATTCTTAATTGAGGAATGCCAGAGAGTTCTTGCAAGATGAACTATCTGCCTCAGTAAATTAAGGTTCAGTTACACTCTATTTACTTTCCCAATAAGTTCCTGTAAAAGGACAATGCATCGAATCGCTGCAGCTTGGAAGCAGGCCATTTGGCCCATTGAGTCCACACTGACCGTCCAAAAAAGCATCCCACCCAACTTCCCTATCATTGCAATCCCACATTTTCCATGGCTAATCCACCAAGCCTGCACATCACTGGACAAACTATAGGCAATTTAGCACAGCCAATCCTCCTAACATGCACATGTTTGGACTATCAGAGGAAATGAGAGCACCCAGTGGAAGCCAACACAGACATGGGGAGAATATGCAAACTCCATGCAGACAGTCACCCAATGGTAGAATTGAACCAGCGTCCCTGGCATTGTGAGGCAACAGTGCTAAGCTCTGAGCTACAGGTAACACCAAAACAACATAGAAAAAAGAAGTAGCAGGTTCTGGTCACAAAACAAAAATTTCAGTTACAAGGTGATAGAGAGGTTAATGGTGACAGAGACAAGGCAGGTAATTAAACTGAGAAAGGAAATGGCGATCAAAGTGGTTTGGAACAACATCAAGATGAACTTTCATTCTCTTATTGAAATTTTGTGGTGTTGGACACATCCAGAATGTTTTGAAATGCCATTATGTCAGCCAACGTGTTGCACAAGACAGTTAGTACCTTAAAGGGTTCACTCACATCTTGAAATAAGCGCCACCTATCAAGATATAAAGGATTTATCCTGGGAGGAGCTAACCAGAGTATACATGTGCTGTCTAAGTTGTTTCTCTAGTGATAGATCCACAAGTTGAATACCATAATCTTAGTTCAAGCCTCCCAACAGACCATCATGTAGCTCAGATGCAACTTAGCTTGCTGATAAGTACTATGTAGTGTGGGGAGTAGCGGTTATGTCATTGAGCTAGTAATTGAGCACCTCAAGCGATTGTACTAGGGACATGGGTATAAATCATACTAGAGATGTGCAAATCTGCCAGTGTAACGCAAAAAGGAAGAGAGACAAAAAGCAGATAACTCTAGGCCAATGATCCTATTGTTGGAAAAATGTCGGAACCAATTATCATGGAAGTAATTGCAGAACATTTGGAAAATCATTATCTAATCAAGCAGAGTCAGCATGGCTTCATGAAAGGGAAATTGTGTCTGACTAACTTTTAGTGCTTTTTGAGGAAGTCTCAACCAGAGTGGATACAGGGGAACCAGTTGATGTGTTGTATTTGGACTTCCAGAAGACACTCGACAAGATACCTGGCAAAAGGTTAAGCTTAAGTCATAAGAGCCCATAGTGTTGGAGGTAGCATATTGACATGGATAGAGAATTGGCTAATGGGCAGAAAATAATGAGTGGGGATAAGGGATTCTTTTTCAGGTTGGTGACCCGTGACAAGTGAGGTTCCAAAAGGATCAGTCCTAGGACTGCAACTGTTTACAACATATATCAATAAATTGGAGCAAAGAAGCAAACGTACTGTAGCCAAATTTGCAGGCAACACAAAATATGTAGAATGGCAAATTGCAAAAAGAATACAAACAGAGAGTTTACACAGAGATACTAATAAGTTGAGTAAATGGGTGAAATGTTGGCAAGTGGACTAGAATGTGGGAAAATGTGAGGCTGTCCATTTTGGAAGGGAGTACAAGAGAACAGAATATTACTTAAATAGAGAAAAACTGCAACACAAAGGAATTCTGGGTTACTTCGGCACAAAGCACAGAAAGCTAACACAGTGTGGAGCTGGAGGAACACAGCAGGCCAGGCAGCATCAGAGGAGCAGGAAAGTTGACATTTTGGGTCAGGATCCTTCCTCACACAGGTGCTGTAGGTTATCAGGAAGGCCAATGGAATGCTGGGCCTTATTTCAAAGTATATGAGTGGGGAAGTTTTCATGCAACTGCAACATGGTGAGACTACATCTGGAGTACAGTGAGCAGTTTTGTTCTTCTTATTGAAGGAAAGACATTGTTTCAGAGGAGCGACAGTTCAGAGGAGCTTCATTAAGATGATCCCGGTATGGAGGGGCTGTCTTACGAGCAAAGGCTAAACAGATTAGGACTGTAATCACTGGGGTTTACAAGAAGAGGTGATCTCGTTGAAACGCATAGGATTCTTAAGGGGCTTGACAGGGTAAATGCTGAGAGGATGTTTTTATCATGGAAGTCTAAGACCAGAAGGTATAGTGACAGAATAGAGGGGAGCCAATTTATAACTGAGGTGAAGTGGAATTTTTTCTCTAAGAGGGTTGTGAGTCTTGCCACAGAGAGCTATAGAGGCAGAGTTCTTATATCTGCTTAAGGCTAAGGTAGATTGATTCTTGATCAGTAGGAGAAATCAAGGGTAATGGGAATGGGCAGGAAATTGACGTAAGTAATGTCAGATCAGCCATAATCCTATTGAATCATAGAATTCCTACAGTCTGGAACCAGGCCATTCAGCCCATCGCGTCCAAACCAACCCTCTGAAGAGCATCCCACCCAGACACATCCTCTATCCCATAATCTCACATTTAACATGGCCAATCCACCTAACCGGCACAATTTTGGACTGTGGGAGGACACTGGAGCACCTGGAGGAAACCCACGAAGTCACAGGGAGAATGCGCAAACTCCGCACAGTCACCCGAGTTTGGAATCAAACCTGTGTCCCTGGCACTGTGAGGCAGCAGTGCTAAACACTGTCTTACAGCTGCGAAGCAGGCTCAATGGGCCAAACTGCCTATCCCTGTTCCTATTTCTTATTGTTTTACGGTGGCAGATGGTTAGATTTGAAATCAATGAAAAACTGGTCTAGAAGAGAATCCCTACAGTATGGAAACAAGCCACTCAGCCCAACAAGTCCACATCAACTCTACAGAGAGCATCATGCTCAGACTCACCCTCCTATCATATCTCTGTATTTCCCATGGCTAATCCCCCGTAACCCACACATATCTGGACACTATGGGCAATTGAGCATGGCCAATCCACCTAACCTGCACATCTTCGGACTGTGGGAGGAAACCCACACAGACCCGGGGAAAATGAGAAAACTCCACACCAACAGTCACCTGAGGCTGGAATTGAACATGGGTCCCTGGTGCCATGAGGCAGCAGTGCCAATCACTGAACCATGGCAGTGACAAATGTGCTGATTGTCACCATAAACCAGGGTTGGAATGGAGAATAATCCAAGGAGGAAGACAACACACTTCTGACTCCATTTTAGTATGAATTCTGCTGAATACTGGGCAGTGTGTGGGCGACCAGAGATGGATGCAAGTTCACTGTTAGTTAAACCCAAACTCCTTAGTGTGGCTTGGGTGGCCCCACCCCACACCCTTCCTTGGACAGCTTAGGACCGAGTCTCTCCTTCTTTAGCTCTGTTTCTTAACTGAGGTGGAAAAATAAAAGATTTTATTAGTTATTTTTGCTGCTCGGCACTTTTTAAAGTAGTCGTTTTTATTAATTGTTCATGAATTATCAACTTATTACATTGGAACTGCATTTTTCAAAAATCAGGCTTATTGTTATGACTTTTTGTTTACAGTGACAGGATTATTTCGCTATTTCAGCTCACTATTAGCCTTTTAACACACCCAAGCAATTTGTTTGATTTACTAAGTGCTACTTTTGGCATTTTCCCAGATGACCACCACCTTAACCAGTACTTCATACAATACTCTGTCACTATCCACACCCTCACAATGCTCAATCACCAATGATGCTCCTTACCCATCTGCCAAATCAAAACAACAACAGCGATAAGGCCAAGGCTCATTTACTTTCATTCCTCCCCATTAACTGTTGCTTCTTCAGTCACTGTCTGGAGTGCGGCCTAAGGTCCTGGCAAAAGGGGAGTTAAAGGCCCAGAATTCCTCTTGTGGAGGGAGATAGCCTCATTACAGTCAGCCAGCCACAGAAGCTCCCCTCAAGTTGCTTTCCCAGGATGCAGTTTTTGTCACTGCATGACAAGCAACACAAGATTACCGTTCAGAGAAAGGTACAGCACTGTAACAAAGCACCAATGTTACTGGACGCTGGGCTCAGTATTGAGCTCACAAATCCTGGATTTGGCATTGTCAGGGCATCACTTCTCATTTCAGCTGGAAATGCAGAAGGAAGAAAGTGCTATTGTGCTTATGACAGCAGCATGCCGTTGTTACCTGTGGAAGCTCTTTGTTTCCCACCTCACTGACTTGGGGTTGATAAATATTGCTGGATGTGACACGATATGATCCTCACTCACACGCTGTTAGTGAGCATCAGATTTAGCAGCTACCCAATCCAATGGCATCTCACCTCACGTTTGATATCATCAGTACCTCCCCGACCAACAAAACTTTTTTGTGACAAGGTTAGCAGTCCATATCCAAACTATTTTAGAGGTAAACAGGCTCAGTCATGTTTATTTAATCACAACTCTAACTTGACTCTGATTGATAAGAAAAGTTTCCTAACTGAGGGTGACTTAATCAAAGTTAATAGGAATTGTATTTCAATGGACAGCACATAAATCTGAACGCAAAAATACTTTTAAACCAACATTCCAACAAAAAAAGGAGGGTCCATACTGTTTCACTTATACAATGGCCTCATTCAAATTTTCACTTTGAACAGTAGTAGTCCTTTCAGTCTATAGAATGGCAATGATTCCTCACCTTGTCTTGCACAAGATGACAATAACGACAACTCCAATGATGACTGTGACTCCACAGACATAAGTGATGGCACATATCATTATACCTGAGGGAAAAAGACAGTTTTGTATGCCATTTATGGTAAAACACAAGATACACAAGGATTTATTTATAGATATCAGATATTTTCATTGATTGTCATTACCTGTTGAGACAGTGTTCTTACTAAACTGTTCTATTGTCTGATGCTAAATGAGGCTCTTACATGGATCTGAATAAGAACCATAAAAGAAAGACTCGATTTAAAAACTGAAAGAACTGCAGATGCTGGAAATCAGAAATAAAAACAAAAACTGAAATTGGCAGAAGGCTGAGCAGGTCTGGTAGCATCTGTGGAGAGAAATCAGTGCCAACGTTTCGGGTCATTGACCCTTCCTCAGAACCATATCAATTTATATTGTGTGGCATTTTACACTGCAATGAAATGGCAATGACTTACCTTTCATTCTTTTACACTAGTTTCAGCAATCACTTTTAGAAATATTGTTTAGACCTCAACATGTGAGATACCATTCATTGCATTAATACAAACAGTTTTCCATTTTCATTACAAAGCAGAGATAATAAAGTTAGCGCTAACTCAAGAAAACATGTTATCATCCAGTAATGTGAAAGCTGCCTGTGCTCAATAGCCTCTCAGTCCCTTGGTCTAGCAGTAATGAAGCCTATGGAACTGTCTGTTACTTCTGCATTCTGAATAGGTATCATATGCTGCCACCTCTTGACCTTTTTCCAGTTACCTTCAGGCAACACAATTCACTTAAAGCAAGCATGCTTTATAAAGATAATAAATTGTCAGAACAATAATGATCTAAATGGTAGTAAAGCTGAAAGGAAGATGGAACAATATTAGGTTCAAAGTAAAAAGTACATTGATTTATCTTGGGCATGTTTTAATTCTCTATATTTAAGACTGCTGTCTTTAACAAAGACTCCCTTCTCCTAAGTGATAGAGATTGGGCAGTGTGCCATGGAGTCAGTTTATTTCATAGTTTGCAGACTTGTGCGAAAATAACAAACACCTGGTTTAACTTTTCCTAACCCCCTCACAGGAGCTTCTGATGGGCTTTCTTTTTCATTACAGCTTTTCATTACACTTCCATATGCAGTTAATAATCAAATGCTAATTAGAGGGACGATGGCTGCAACAAACTGTCGTCAATTCTGAAAAGAAGTATACTTTCAATTTGCAACAAAATAGATCTCAGATGCACACGGCCAGGTTTTGGTGTCTAAAGCATTTTTCTCCTTTAGGGATGAAGGGGAAAATGTTTAAACTGATATAATCAACTGAATACAAACTACTATCATGATATTTCCCTGCTTTTATTTTCAACAAGCTTTAAGGAACTTTTCCAGAAATTGGAGTATGTTGTTTTCATTGAAAAGCAAACTGTGATAAGTATTTAATTGTCACTTCACTGTGGTAATATTTAAAAAAAGTCACTTCAAATTACTTCGGGCGATTTGTACTTATACTAAGTTTGTTTGGCTACACTGATAAACAGAGTGCTCCCCTGTGGAAAAAGCTAATTTTAAAACAAAATTCTCTCTTGGACTCTTGGGTTTGTCGTTGGCAAGGTTGGCATTTATTACCCATCTGTCATTCGTCTTGAATCGAGTGACTTGCTGGGCCATTTCAGAAAGCAGTTAAGAGTAAACTTACATGACTGTGGGCCTGGAGTCATGTGTAAGAACAGATTTCTTCCCCTAAAGAGCATTTGTGAACCAGACGTGTTTTTATGACAATCGATGATTGTTTCAAAACTCAATTTCTAGATTCAATTACAGATTTCTTTATTAATTAGATTAAATTTAGCAACTAAATTTCACATCCATCTGCTGCCATAGTAGGATAATTCACAAATCCAAAAAAATTCTCTTGACGTCTGTAATGCTAGTCCAGTGATATTACCCTATATCACTATCTCCCCTTGATGTTTGCTTTGCTTTCACATCAATGTTCGTTTTCAAGGGATATTGATTGATAAATAGCTTTATTATTTCCTTATGTGGTCATAAGGGTTGAGTAACTTTAAGAAAAAATACTTAATCTTAGCATTTGTTAGTGCACCAAAATACACCATATAAACCCAATGGCTAGAGATGTCATGTACTCGGTTTTGGATTAAACAGCCCAGTCATGTTAGTGAGTGATCTGAGAATGTGTCAGAGTGTTGGTTTTAAAATAGAAGTTCACTGACTTCTGAAATCTCATTCTGAGTGTTTTCTTTAAGAGTCCCTCACAGAATTGATCAAGTGTAGAAATTCACGAGGCATTGGGGGGCTTGACATTTACAGCTCTGACCTTTCAGATTAGACATTAAAGCAGAGTCCTGTCTGCCCACTCTGGTCAATGTGCTAGCTTTAGAGCACATTTTGAAAATGAACAGCAGAGCTCTCCTGGTATCACAACCAATATCTGTCCCTTCAACTAACGTTGCTAAAACAAATTGCCCAGTTGTAGAAATGCAATTCTTATGTTGCTGCTTTTGGGACCCTGCTGCCTAAAAATTAAATGTCAAGTTCCCTCTTTATAACCATGCCTACATTGCAACACAAGCATTGCAACAATAGTCACTGATTGTGAACTGCTTTGGTCATGAAACACGCTACATGAAAGCAAGCTCTTTTCTTCCTCTCATCCTTTTCAGGCCTTCACTCTCACCATTCCTGTTTGATTTGACTCCTGTTGGTTGTGTGTTCCCATGTAGTGCAGGTGTATCCGAAAAGTGGAGTTAAGGCCATAATCAGATCAGCCATGATCTTGTCAAATGGCAGAGCTGGCTCGAATGACTTACACCCACTCCAAATTCATATGTTTGTACGTAGTCATGAAAACTTGGTCACTTTCCTAATACTACAGAAATAACTTTATCTCTGAGACTGAGACTAGGGACACGAGGGTGGCATGGTGGCTCAGTGGTCAGCATTGCTGCCTCATAACACCAGGGAACTGTGTTCAATTCCAGTCTCAGGCTGTGTGGAGTCTGCACATTCTCCCCATGCTTCCTCCACAGTTCAATGATGTGCAGGTTAGGTGAATTTACCATGGAGAATGCAGGGTTACAGGGATGGGTGGGGTGAATCTATGTAGGATGTCTTTGGAGGCTTGGTATGGCCTGCTTCCACACTGTAGGGATTCTATGATCTATTTAATGGTAGGGGAATACAACAACAATAAGTACTTATACTTACGTGGCACCTTCAACATAATAAAACATATGAGCCATGCAAGATGATGTTAAGTCATCAAACAGGCAGATTGTAAGAAGTGTCCTCAAGGAGGAAAGTGAGGTACAGATCTAGGAGGCTGTCTCAGAACAATGTGTAAACACAAACTGAAAAAAGGCAGCACGATAAAGTATTTGTTTTGGATGAATTTGTACTGTACTGAATCCTAGAGCAAGATCTGCCTCTGGCTACACACTTAGCCACCACCCAAGACCTTCCAGGCAAGACTATGCTATCCTAAGAGACTTTTGAAGCTGTTTTTAATCTGCCCAGCTATCTTTCTACTATTTTGTTCCAGCAGAAATTGCATGTAATGGTAAGGCTGTAACTAACATGAATATTGAGAACAGGTTTTAAAGTGTGGTTAGCACATTGCAGCTGGCTAGAAGTGATATGGCATTCCGCAATGAGCTGTTACAGGCAGAGATTAGAACTTTAAAATGTCTAATTATTGTTCAACAGCTAAGATGACTTTTCCATCAACATTTAAACTTTGCCAAAGTTATCCCTTGGGTACATGTCTTCATTCTGTTGTTCAAAGAATACAGGATATAGAAATACCAGGATTTGGTTTCAGGTCTTTGGCTTCGAATTTTGTGTCAGATGTGGTCTGGGTGATCAGATTCAAATGCTTCATGTTTCTGATTTTAATGATCCGAAATTTTGGCTTTGGAGAGTTGAACCAATTTACAAAACATGGTGAGGATTAGAAATTGGCTTTGGACTGTACAAAATGGCCTGAAGCTACTCATCTATAATAAGGGGTGACAAATGAAAGGATAGCCATTCTGCTTAGAAAAACCTTAGCAATAAATTCCATACACACAGGCCCTTTTTAGCATTGAAGAAAAACAATACTACTTTGTAGAAGCCATATGGAAAATTAACAGCGAGAAAAATGATAGATTATGTGATGTGATAAGTCCAGAGTTGGTGGACTCGAGAATTCTTGACTAACAGTGAACTTGAGACCAGTGCAGAGATAAAGAAGAGTGAAATGAAGGAAAGATTTGAATACAAAGACGGGAATTTTAAAACTGAGAGGTTGAGCAGGAAACAGAGTAATAAAATGTGGGTGGAGGGAGGCAGTGTTAATTTTTTTTCAAAAATTCATTCCTGGGTTGTGGGTGTCACTGGCTTGACCAGCATTTATTGCCAAGAGGGCAGTTCAGAGTCAATCACATTGGTGTGGGTCTGGAGTCACATGTAAGCCAGACCAGGTAAGGTCAGCAGATGATTCCCTAAAGGACATTAGTGAACCATTTGGGTTTTTCCTGACCATTGACGATAATTTCATGGTGATCATTAGACTTTTAATTCCAGATTTTTATTGAACTCAAATTCTTCTTTTTTAAAGTTCTTTCCTGGAATGTGGGCATTGCTGGCGAGGCCAGCATTTATTACCCATCCCTAATTACTCAGAGGGCATTTACGTGTCAAACACAATGTTGTGGGTCTGAAGTCGCATATAGTCCAGGCCATGGGGCAATCTTTTCTCTAAAGAGCACTAGTGAACTAGATGGTTTTCCCCAACAATTGACAATGGTTCCATGGTCACCATTAGACTCTAAATTTCAGACTTTTACTGAATTCAAATTCCACCATCTGCCATGGTAGGATTCAAACTCAACCCTCCAGAATGTTACCTGGAACTCTGGGTTAACAGTCTATTAACAACAGCACTAGGCCATTGATTGGAAAGTAGATGCTGAAATCAAACTCAATTTAGCTGTCACCAACCATGTTTCATTATTAAGTTCCATCCACCTTTGTCCACTTTAAGCGACTTCAGTCACTGGATGCACCAGCCTT